GTACATCAGCAAATTAGAGAGTACAGATAAATTGGATTTAATTTGATTTTTCTCTTTCCATCTGATGTATGGGAAAGAAAGGACTGAGTAATCGCAGTGAGAAGATCCTTTAATTAAAGTAGGTGGTGCTATTTACTCTATGCCAGAGTTACAGAAAAACTGATTCACAGTGGGTGTGTTCTGGCAGCCACGAAAGGCTAGATAACCTGATCTGAGAAAAATAATGAAGGTGAGTCCATTCCCCCACCCTTTCTCATGCCCAGCTCAGTGGTTGGGTCTACATTCTGATTAATCAGTGTGGTTTGTAGTTCATCACATGTTCACTCTGTGCATAGCATCTTTCTGCATACCTGGCATCTCTAAATTTATATATTCTTTCATAAAATGTCTAATTGAGTACAAATAATATTGTAACATCAGCAAAACTATGATATTTTTGAAAGCTTCACATAGGGTGACATCCAGTGGTGTGAGCCTGCTTGCACAACAGACTTCTGCTTACGAACTGGAACTTCCCCTTCCTCTCCTGCCCCTGCAGCCCGCCCACCCCGGTGCATTCCAGAGCATATCAGGGAGGGAGGCTGCAGGGAGGTGGTGCACTAAATGCTGTGTACAAGCCTGGCCACAGACTGATATGAAATGAAAAGGGAAGAAAAAGATCTATCAAACCTCTGGCAATAATTTAGTTTTACAGAACAGTGCTACTTAGTAGTATCAAAACAGATAGCATGGAATTTTCTGTGTTGTAATAACATTTTGATGTTTGTGATTTTTTCTTTTTTTGTCAGAGTGACCTCATATTAAAACAAGGAAAATGGAGATAAAAATCTCACTGTCTCTGTCTCATTCCCTATATGTATGAATGAGTAAGAGAAGATGGCATATTGCACAAAAGCACTGGTGAGCAGGTATTACCATGAACCCATTGTTAAACCTACTCTGACTTTAAAAGATGCAGTCTTAGGAGCCTAAGTAATTGTTTGTCTTTTGAAGTTGAGGTACATGTTTTTGAATTAAATGCATTGCAGGGGTTACTTTCAGCTTTTTAAAATTAATCCTATGCACATTTAAAGGTAAAGGTAAAGGTACCCCTGCCCGTACGGGCCAGTCTTGCCAGACTCTAGGGTTGTGCGCTCATCTCACTCTATAGGCCGGGAGCCAGCGCTGTCCGCAGACACTGCCGGGTCACGTGGCCAGCATGTCAAGCTGCATCTGGTGAGCCAGAGCCGCACACGGAAACGCCGTTTACCTTCCCGCTGGTAAGCGGTCCCTATTTATCTACTTGCACCTGGGGGTGCTTTCGAAATGCTAGGTTGGCAGGCGCTGGGACCGAATGACGGGAGCGCACCCCGCCGCAGGGATTCGAACCGCTGACCATGCGATCGGCAAGTACTAGGTGCTGAGGTTTTACCCACAGCGCCACCCGCGTCCCAACAGCGCCACCTGTGTCCGCGGTACATTTACTTTGGCATAAATCAAGCTGGCTTGGTTCCTAATACATATCAACCCAAGGAAGTTCACAGAAAGTTTCTTGTCCCTTTCTCCCCTCTGCAGTGACCTGCCCAGTCACCGAAGACCCTCTTTGGAGGGTCAGAGGCCTTCTGAAAACGGGATGGGGTGTAAGGGCTGTTGAGGAAAGGGGAGGATTGCCAAAAATTGGGCTTGGAGCCTAAGGTAAGTTTACTTCAGGAAATTTATAGAAGTAAAGGTTTGTAGCCAATGTTAGTTCTATGAAGAATAGATTAATTGAATATAATGAAACTAAGTTCATTTATTTCAATGAGTCTACCTACCAGAGGCTTTTGGGGAACCGCAGGTGACTGCAGGGTAGAGGAAGTAATAGAAAATGTCTGTGAATTTATTTTGGGATCTAAGCCATTGAAGACAGTGGAATGTATTTCTGCGTAAACATAAGGCTGTCATGCAATTTCCAGGTGTGGTTATTTGTCATTTGCCATTAATTATGGTTATTCTTATAAGTGCTTTCTTTTCCATGGGGAAAATTTCTTTTTGGACAATGTTTTTAAATCACCAGTACACAAAAGAGACCGTTTTTTTCTGGTTGTATTAGAAGCCCTACTGATTCAGAATGCACAGAGAATGTAAGATTACATAAAACCTGTCAATTTCTGTGTACATATTGACAGGAAATTGAAATAATTAAAATGAGTGAATAATCCAGTGTGAAGAACTACTTTTAACACCATGTGACTTTGGAGAAGGAAAGTTGGATGATCATATTAATTAACAATACTACTACTAGGACCATCATTAGGTCCGTAAATAAAGTTTGGGGTGTGAAACTAGCCTATTTCATAAAATATTTTCTTCCAGAAAGACTAAATAACAGGGCAAAACCACCATATAGAAGTACATATCCATTCCCCCACACCCCCTCCAGCAAACTGGGCTTGTCATTTTAGCATGACTGTTATTCTCGGACTAGATTCTCCTAAACAATATCTGCACCCTCCATCCCGCAGCTGCATCCTATTTTTAACTCCCTAGCTCTGACTACTTTCTCTCTGCCCAAATTCAAATTTTGATGGGACTGACATTACACTGGCAGAAGAGATATTTGCAGTTATTAAGGATAATAAAACTCTTTGTCTCTTGTCAGGTTCAAAGTTGCAGAAAACTAAAAGGAATGAAGCATTCACAATAAGCCAGACAGCCACGCTTTTAGCATATGTTCTATTTCTATAATAAATCACATCTAAATATATTCAGTGTAAGTAGCATTTCAAAAAGAGAAAGGTTATTTGTTATTGAAGTTAATGGTTTCCTTTTTCTTTTCTCTGCTTTTTCATTACAGGCGGCCAGTTGTACGTACAGCCTGATACTCTGTGTATTTACTCAAGCCCTGCTGAGTTCAATGGAGCTAACTGCCATGTATGTTTAGGACTGCAGCCATGAAGGCCCATGTAGTGTTTGTTTACCCAGCAGTCAACTGAGCTGCATAAGGCTTATTCCTCAGTAATTGTGCATAGAGAAGTGTGTCCTAATCAACACAGGGGGCTTAACTTTTTGAGAAAACATGCATACAATCAGATTCCACTGCTGAAATTCTTAGTGCTTTCTGTAGGAAGTAAGTCCCTCAGAACTAATCACAAACCATAGAAAGGTAACCGACTGGAGTTTAGCTGGTGCTTTTTAATAAATTGGAGACCAAGAACAGCTGGGATGAAAGCTATTGAACAAGATTCCTTGGAATGTACACTGAGTTTCTTAATATACAGAAATATTTAACAAGAAATATGAATGCCACCACAGTACTTCCTGGTTTCTTTCTTACAGCAGGTAAGAGTGTAAAACAGAGTAACATCTCATTTACTTTTAATAATATAAAAATCAAACATCCTGCAGAACAACAGGGGAATTGGGATTTAGTCATTCTTGTGTTTCAAATCACAAGATAGCATATATAACAGTTTGCAAAAAGCAATGTGACAGGAGTAGAAATTGTAAAGGCTCCCATATAGTAGGTAGCCTTGTGTACACTTATTTGATAACTTTATGGAATACAGTAGAACTTCACTAAGTAAACTTAGACTCAGGCTAGAATATTATTTTAATTGTGCAGTGCTGGTCAAATACATGAATTTAAAAGTGTATTATCAGTAAGGTAAAGGTAAATGGACCCCTGACCATTAGGTCCAGTCGTGACCGACTCTGGGGTTGCGGTGCTCATCTCGCTTTATTGGCCGAGGGAGCCAGCATACAGCTTCCGGGTCATTCCGGCCAGCATGACTAAGCCGCTTCTGGCAAACCAGAGCAGTGCAAAGAAACGCCGTTTACCTTCCCGCCAGAGTAGTACCTATTTATCTACTTGCACTTTGACGTGCTTTCGAGCTGCTAGGTTGGCAGGAGCAGGGACTGAGCAACGGGAGCTCACCCCGTTGCGGGGATTCGAACCGCTGACCTTCTGATCGGCAAGCCCTAGGCTCTGTGGTTTAACCCACAGCACCACCCGTGAACCATATTGTCAGTAGTAGTAGTTCTTCTTCATCATCAGCATTTGCACAACTACAGACCATGGAAGTTACAACTGGGGGCCACAGCTGCTCCACGTCTGTCCTAAAGGACAGGGACAAGATTGTAGGAGGTCTGCCTTACTTTGCTGGGTTGCTCCTAGAAACCCTCACCTTAAACGTTTTCCTCTGGTTGCAGGAAAGAACCAGGATGGCACTCAGCACCTAAGATAATTATAATTATAATTATATGTTTATTTATACCCCGCCTTTTCCCCTGACGGAGGACTCGGGGCATCTTATAGATAAAAAAACTGGGTTTCTAATTTTTGTAAGCCGCCTTTATTTTCGATTTAATAGGAAGCAGAGATTAAACAATCACAAAAAAACGAGCGAAAAAGGCGATCTAGGCGAGAACCGTTTCAGGCAGCCGACATTGGCGCCCCGCTTTTCGAAGGACGGGATTTCTCGACGTCCGCTCGGAACTGTCCCTCTCGCCTACTTGGAAGCGACCGCGGCAGCGGTTCTTCCCGGCGCATGCGCTCTCTCCTCGGGCTGGCCGGCGCGCCCACGTGACCCGGACGGGGTGTGGGGGAGGAGGCGAGGAAAGGGTGCCGGCGCTATTGCCGCCGCCGCCGCCGCGCTGCGTCTCTCCGCCTCTGTCTCTGTCTCTCTCTCCCTCCCGGCCCGGGCCGGCGGCTCAGAGAGAGGGGGGGAGGGAGGGAGGGAGGCGGATCCATCATGGCGTCTATGCAGGTGAGCAGCTTGCGGCGGCCAGGCTGGGGCGGCGTGTCCTTTCGTCCCCAGGTGTAGAGGGGGAGAAAGAGAGGGGGGACCGGGGGGGGGGCGGAAAGAAGGCGGCGGGGCCGGCGGGCGGGGGGAGGAGGGAGGGCAGAGCGGCGGTTGGCGCGGGGGCGGCTCTCCTCTCGTGCCCCTGCTGCTGCTGCTGCGCTGCTTTCTGTGGATGCGGCTCCGGGGAGGAGGAGGAGGAGGAAGCGGCGGCTGTTGTGGCGTTTCCTGGGCGAGCGGCGGGAGGGACTCCGTATGAGGAACTTGGCGCCGGAGCGAGGGGAGCCTGGGAGCCGAGCGAGGGGTTTGGGAGAGGCCGAAGGGAAGCCCTTCCCTCAGCTGGGGCAAAAGGAGCCGGGCATTTATTTGGGGTCGGGGGGGGGTGTTGTAGGTGCGCGCGCTCCAGGTTGGGCCGGTACCCGGAACCAGCAGGTGCGTGACCCCCGGCTCTTCTCCCCTTAGGTGTGGTTTAGGGCTGGGGTGGCTTGGCCCGGGCTGCTGCTGCTGCTGCAGGGAGGCAGGAGGCGCCGGCGCCGGAGAGCTGAATGGGCCTTGCTGGCTTTTGCTGTGACAGGTCTAGTCGCACCTCAGGGGTTTCCCTTTAAACTTCTCCCTTTTCTTCAGGGTGATTTTCAGCACAGGGCTGATACGGGGCGGTTGTTTGGCGGGCGGGGGGTGGCGATCCATGAGGGGATGATTTAAGGAGGGTCGCTCAAAGTCAGGAAGTGTGGAAAGTCATTCTGACGTCCTTCTCCTTTTTTTTTTATTGCATACGTTAGTCACTGTATGTTTTGCTTTAGGAAGCAAAGCGGCGACGGTAGCGCCGTCCTCTGCCTGATGCTTTGACGTTTCTCTCTCTCTTTCTCTCCCGCTCCGCCCCCCACCCCCACCCCCTTCTCACCTATTGTGCCTTGTCCTTCAGACTTCAAAAAGGAGAGCAAGCTTGTTTGGTGTGAAATCTCCTGTTCAGATCTGCCCTTCACCCAGTTCGCCCCACCACAGACATGCTCTGTGGGATTACTGATGTGATGGTGCATGAGAAGCAGTTTAGGAAAGATGCTAGGCTACGAAATCAACAGATCAGCACCATTTATTTATATCATTATTACCTCGTGTGGTGGTATTGGGCTACAGCCCTTTGTAGACAAAGTTATACAGTGGTACCTTGGTTTAAGAACAGCTTAGTTTATGGACAAATTGGATTAAGAATGCAGCAAACCCGGAAGTAGGTGTTTTGGTTTGTGAACTTTGCCTTGGAATAAGAACATGTTTCACTTCCTGTTGAGTGTGTTCCATTTGTAAATTGAGTCCCCCACTGCTATGGGAAAGCACACCTTGGTTTAAGAATGCTTTGGTTTAAGAACGGACTTCATGAACGGATTAAGTTTGTAAACCAAGGTACCACTGTACTCAGAGCAGACCCGTTGAAATCAGTCATGTCCTATTGTCTTCAATGGCTCTACAACCCATAGAGGTGGACTTACAAGCTTGACCATCTTAGACAAGTACATCATCCTATGAAATAGGGCTGCCTGTGAAAAACACATATTACAATACTAATGTCTTTTAATGTTCCACTGGGCTTTCTGTTGCTTTTGGATGAAAGCTGAAATAAGCAGTGCATCCAGTGTTGCGCCTTTTTTAAAAACAAAGAAACAAGGATTTATATACTGCTTAATCATCAAAACCTCTGAGCAGTCTACATAAAATATAAAACATAGGATGATATGTATGTGATTTCAATTTAGAATTGATGTTAAAATATAAGAAGTACAGTAACTACATATTTTAATATCAAAGAACAAAGGATATTTTTAAATTATGTGAAGCAAGATTAAACAAAACATGCAGAACAGGCATCTAATGTTCCAAACCGATGGACAGACAAAAATCTAAACCTTATTTATATTCAGTTTAAATAATACCAGATTGGACATTAAATTTGCTGATTTTTTTTCAAGAAGAACTTGACTTGTAAAACTGCGTTGGAGCAGTTGGAGAATAGTTCTTTTAAATGAAGCCTTTTTTGGATTCACAGAACATTAATGTTTTTTGTGAGTTCTCCCCACTCCATCTCTACCACTCAGCTTCTTTTACATTTCCCTTAGCTTTTACACTGCATAATGAGAACTTGCAAGTTTCTCAGTTCTGTGATCGTTAAAGTGCACTACTTTTAGTTACAATAGAAATTGTGTTGTATTTGTTCTAATTTCTTGGTAACTTTCTGGCATTGTGAAATTCAGCTCTTGTTTCTTATTGTGGATACTGTGCTGTCAGGGGTATTGATTAAACTTTTGGAAAATATGCTAGGGATACCTTATTTCCCTAGGCAATTTGATCAGAGAATCAAGTGAAGGTATTTAACATCATTTCCAGCTTTCATGTCTGTATAGCACTCTTGAACCCTCTTGTATTCCGTTCAGTCTTAGGGAATAATTCATCTGATGACATATTTAATTTAAGTGTGTAATTCATTCACTTATTGGTGTCACTTCCCTGTTTCCCAGGGTATACTGTATCTCAGGAGAGGGCTTGCCACTTTGGTCTTCTCTACTGTATCTAGTATGGGTCACTAGATATTTAGTAGCAAGAAATTGCCCAAAGAGGCCACGTTTATAAAAGAATTCTGCATTTTCTATGGCACTGCACCAGTTTAATTGCCTAGAGCAGAACTTTCCAAACTTTGCATGTTGGTGACACACTTTTAGACATGCATCATTTCGCAACACAGCAGTTCAGTTTTACAAGCAAATTGGTGATGAAACTAACTCCTTTCCAATCCCAAGGACTGTGGGGAACATTGTGCAGCACACCTACACACTGCAGCTGACACACTAACGTGTCACAACACACAGTTTGGAAAGCTCTGGCCTAGAGAGCTAAACTTTTGTTTATTCTTTTGTGTTGCATGCAAGTCTCCTACTAAGCAAATAAAAAACAATAATGTTTGAATATTTAAAAACCAGCAGTTTAACTTGTGTGTGTTTCATAATCTATTTTACCACTTCTAGCAATTGAAGGTGGTGTCTAAGCAGGAAGTAAGCTAATCTTAGTGCAGTGGATGCATGATGGTACATTGATACATACCCCCATTCAGCCATGAAGTTTGCTAGATGGCCTAGGGCGACTAATTCTCGCTTAATTTTAACTGTGCTATTTTAAAAAATCTGATGTGGCTTGTGTGTGTGTGTGTGTGTGTGTGTGTGTGGTATGTACACACACAGTGTATGTATAATACACTGAAATGAAATGCAGCTGAAGGAAAATAAGAAATGCATGTAGCATCATGAAATACCCACCTAATAATATGATGTAGCACTATGAGATTATGCTCTGCTCTGAACACATTTTAGGATTAAACAGTTTAGGATTTGAACATATGTCAAGAACTGACTCATTGTAATTGGACATGTGAAACCACATTCCTCTCTGTCACTGGATGATGCTTCAGATGATATTAGGACCAGGGGGTTGACTGGTAGCCAGAAGTGCTTGGTTGTGGTTCAGATCCAGAGGTGGGTTGCATGGCCACATCTAGCGCTGCTGCTGGTGGTTTCTTTGTGAGGAACATTATGATTGGCAGCTGCTGCTGTTGTGTCTTGAGCTTGTCAAACATTTCCTTGAGAGCATCTGTAATCCCATGGATGATCTTGAGGCTCTGTTCCATGGAAGGGTCAAACCCTGCAGTCGGATCATCTGTGTGCTTTATCACTTAGAAGAGTTGAGAAAATTGCTGGCTCATGCTTGCCATCCTCATCATCACATTCTGAACTTGATCTGACCAGTTCCTCTAGCTCTTCAATAGTCAATACCTGTTGACCCTCAATTAGTTCTCCCACTTCTTCCTGGATGAGGTCTACAAAACCACCACCACCCATTTGCCTGACCATCTGCACAATGTTCTCCACCCCAATGGCAATGGTTGGAAATCCTTTGAAATTGTGTGTGCATTCCTTCCACAAGTTCCACCAGCATGTATTCACTGTTTCAAGCTTGATTGCATCCACTGCCTGTTTGATGTGGGTGATGCAATGAGCAATGTAACCAGTGAAATCACACCTTGACCCAGAGGCCTGCTTCATAAATGTGGGAGCCACTCCTCTAAATGATATTGGTTACAGTACTTCTGAAATCCAACTAAACATGCACAATCTTGCTGTTTTAAGCAGACAAGATGGACAGTGTTCAAGTATAGACAATGTTGGTCTTGCTTCTCCAAGGAGAGTGTCCATGTCATCTTGGCCAACAGTTTGAAAGGTATGCACAGCATCTGACATCCCCCATTTTGTTTGAAAAATGAAGTCCAACTTGGAATGGATGCATGTAATTTTATCTGCATAATAGTCACAGTGGATCACCAAAGTTTCTGTTTCCTTCCTTGACAAATTGTAAGGGGTTTCACCACCCAGAATTGCTCTATTAGATGCCACTGAATACAGATTAGGCTGTTATGTTTGTATTCTTGTTACATTCTCAACTCCTTGGAAACCAAAGAGATAGCTGAACTCTACAAATAAGTGTTTGGGAATAAATGGGTAATTTTTCTATTCCAAGGATCAGTCAGGACCATGACAGAAGCACCAGGCATATCAGTAGGAAAATCCAAAAGGACTTCAGGAATCCATTTGGCTTCATAAGCCTTCAGTGGAACTCAGTAAGCAAATTGGGAGAAGATAACCTCACCACCATCATCCAACCTATCTCTGTAATAATCAGCATCTTCATCCAGGATTAAATCCTGATGGCAGCAGTGTTACCATTCATCAGCCTAGCTTTCAGGAGAAGCACTTGCAAGCTTGATGAGTTGCAGTCATGTGTGCCAGGAAATGTAGGGTTAAAGGAAGGATTTGAAAGTGATAGAGCATGCAATGCCTTGTCTTCCCTTCACCTGACCTTTCCAATTCCCACTGTCGTATCTGCATCTGCCTAGGACTCTGCAAAAGGTAACACCATCAGCTCCAGTATCCCCCGCCTCCCTGCCTATCCAAATACATATTTAATGGGCATGCCTTCCAGTCCCAAAGGCAACCTCCTTTGGTGCTGTCCCCTTCTGGGTCACCACCACTGGTGTCCTACAGTAGGACTGGTTTTCAAAACCTTCCTCACAGGGCTGCTACAAATGTAGGCACAACTGGTGCTGATAGTAATGTCCTCACTGTGGAACTCCAGAATAAAATATACAAAAATGAAAGCAAGATAATAATACAAAACAGTGTGTGTGTGTGTGTGTGTGTGTGTGTGTGTGTGTAATTGTACTTCCTCAGCAGGCAAAACTTCCAGAAATATCATTGAAAAAGACATAAAAGTAACCATCCCATCAAGGATACTGTCTAGCCAAATATACATTCCTCCCCACTACCAACTGCTTGCTTAGATTGTATACTTAGGCATCTGAGGCAGTCTTGTTCTCAGAACTAGCCAGACTGAAATGT